AGTTTATTAATTATGATTAATACTTTATATTAGGAAACAATTAATTGATTAAAAATTGAATGATTGAGATGAGGGTTGTATAGGGTGTAGGAATGGCAAAGGGTGTAGAATAACATCCCTCTATATATGTATATTAAATAATAATAATTAAATTGATTTGATGTTTTATGACAACACAATTCCCAATTATTCAACACCCACTATTAAGGGGGTGCCATTAGCACTCCCCTACAACAATACCAACATATTTGAAATTAGTATCATTTGGGACTTGACAAATTTAATGGAAATAGTCGATTAAATAGATAGGTAATGATTGGTGACATGACTTTGAGTTCAATACAAAAATCAGTATCACTTTCATATATCTGGTCGTGTCGATTTTTCTATTTATTTATTGTTTAATCTCTCGATTTGTATTAATCAATTCAAATTTTGTGAAGCTGATTTGTAATCTACTTGGATTCCTCGTCACTAGTTAGTCCATCTCGATTGTAGCCAGTATTAGTATAAAGAAAACTCCCTATGTGCTTGTTGATTTGAGTTCATGGAATTGATTGCCCGTATCAATAACCAAATAAACCATCTGGTATGACATTGTTGCCTGTACATTCATTCGATATTTAACATGTCAATGAGAGATCATGCCATATGCTGTTTGCTTAATTTTTCTATCTTGGCAGCCCAATTAAGGCCAAGTACTTGTGTTGATATTTCATATGCTATTTGGCTTGTTTTTGGGCAGTATCAAGTATTTATTATTCTGGAATTCCGTTTGAGTTTTCCAAATGCTTATGTTTGTTTTCTTCAAGTATGTATAGGTTATAAAAAAATCTCAATATTATTTGTTAGATTTATTAATCTTTTGCAATTTTTGAAAAAAGAACTTGGTAGCATTGTTGGTTGTGGTGCATAATAATGCAAATGCAATGCATAAACACTACTATTGATTATATATATAGACTTGAGTACATGTGAGACCGGTTTATTTTCGTGAGACAATCTTTTTATAGTGGAAACTTCACACTAAAATATTGTGAAAGTAATTTTCACAAAATTTAGTGTGAAGGTTTAGATTTTTTATACCTTACCCAACCTTTTATATATATATATATATATATATATATATATATATAAACCATGCAAACCACCCACATCCGTCGATTTCATTGTTTAATCTTATGAAATTTTTTCATAAAATTATTTAATCTTGTGAAAATGTTTCATATAATACATTTTTCGATGAAGTCGTTTTATAGATGGTTATGAAATTGTTTCATATAATATTTAATGAAACTGTTTCATGTATTTCTTTAAAATTAAAATAATGAAGATGATAATATCCATGATTAACACCCTCCACAATAAAAATGATTAATCAACCTCTCATAATTACAAAAAAATGAACAAAATGAAAAATTATGATTGGT